TAAATCTTCAGTGCATTGCAAGGACTTTCTCCTACCAACCACAATGTAATTAATGATCAAAACAAGAAATTAACTTTGAAACATTACTGCTAAACAGTCTGCACATCTTATTCAAATTTCACCAACTGACCCACTAATGTTATTTTTTCAGTTCCTTGAACCAATCCAGGATCCCACATTGTACTTGGCTGCTGTGTTTCTTCATTGGTGATGTTAACCTCGATCATTTGATGAAGATAGTATCTGCCAGCTTCTCCCCTGTAAAGTTGCACTTTTACCCTTGGCAAGATGCTTGGAAACTAAGTAAATATCCCATTACTCATAGAATTTCGAATTGATTAATTTATTTTTATCAAATGGATTCATGGATTCCCATTTTATTTAATGTGTTATAATCTGTTACTATCTTTATTTCAATGCTTAAATTGTCCCAGATTTGACCAATGGGAGCTCCTTCAAGCTAGTTTCTTTGTCTCTTTGATAGAATAGACATTATTCTTTCAGCATTTCTTCATTTTCTGGCACAGTAAAGTATTCTACGTTTATCTTGCATTTTTCCTTCCTTCAGGCCTGGAACCAACCATATCTCCAAGGAACCCCGGCTCCTGTTAGGAAAGAAAGGTGTTTAGAAACTAAGATCTGGATACCAGACATGCTTACTGCTATTGGGGTGTTGCTGTTCCTAGCTGCTTTCAGTGGACAGACCTAAGAAATATACTCCACACTCACACAGACACACACACTTCCATATCCATCTATGTATACTGAAAACGTTAAGTTCACACTAGCACCTCTACTTCTAATTCAATACTCCAGCATTCACTCTACTTTCATCTCTTTCCATTTTGGGGGAGGCTGGATTTTTTTGTTTGTTTTTTGAAGCAGGGGTAGTTATCTCTGTCATCCAAGCTGGAGTGCAGTGGCACAAACACGGCTCACTGCAGCCTTGATCTCCTAGGCTCAAACCATCCTCCCACCTCAGCCTCCGAGGTAGCTGGGACTACAGGCGTCTGCCATCACACCCAGCTAATTTTTGTAATTTTTGTAAAGATAGAGTTTCACCACGTTGCCCAGGCTGTTCTTGAACTCCTGGGCTCAAGTGACCCTCCCACCGCAGCCTCCCAAAGGGCTGGGATTCTGGGGATTACAGGTGTGAGCCACTGCACCCAGACCATATTTTTAACTTCTTTCTCCAATTGCGAGAAACCTGGTTCCTATTTTCTTCAATCCATTTCCTTACTATATAAATCCCTTTGCATGTTACCAATATTCTGTCATTGCCATATTCCCTTCTCCCCAAACCGTCTATAAATCTAACTGACACCTTCTTCCAGGTCACCCCTGATGTCAAAGCTCTCCTCACTCCTTTGGGGTCTGACACCTGTGTCACATACGAACATTTTCTTTCCCTCTTGGTGCACCAATATACGACCCCAGACCACCTAACATGTCCATGTCCTTGTCCATCTTTCTGGGCTCTGACATCCTGTCCTGGATCGCCCTTCCATGGAGATAACCTTCTCACCCCATTCAGCCTCCTACATCCTATGCAGACACGCTTCCCTACTCAGGCTTGGACACCCTCCACATCAAGCATCATAATAGTAATAAAATATTGTAAGATATCTCCCTGATATTAGGACCAAGTCAAGAATGTCACGATCATTACTTCTGTTTGACATTATACTGGGATCTGAACTGAAAAGAAATAAAAGGTATAAGTACAGAAAGGAGAAAATAAAATTGTTCATTATTAAGAGACTATGTGGCCAAGCGTGGTGGTTCATGCCTGTAATCCTGGCACTTTGGGAGGGCGAGGTGGGAGGATCACCTGAGATCAGGAGTTTAAGACCAGTCTGACCAACATGGTGAAACCCCATCTCTCCTAAAAATATAAAAATTAGCTGGGTGTGGTGGGAGGCACCTGTAATCCCAGCTACTCGGAAGGCAGAAGCAGGAGAATCACTTGAACCTGGGAGGTGGAGGTTGCAGTGAACTGAGATTGTGCCACTGCACTTTAGTCTGGGTAACAGGGTGAGACTGTCTCAAAAAAAAAAAAAGAGAGAGACTACATGACTGCGCACGAAGAAAGTAAAAAGTACTGGACAGAATGAACAAATAAGTTTAGCAAGGCCAGTAGATACAAGGGTCAGTATTTTAATGATTAATTATATTCTACATATGAGCAATAACAATTGGAATTGAAATTTTTTAATGATATTATTGATACAGCATCAAAAAATCAAATACCCAGGAATAAATCCAGTGAAAGATATTCAAGATTCTTCACATGTAACTAGCAAAAATTACCAAGACAAATTAAAGAAAATCTGAACAAATGGGGGAAAAATACATTAATGAATTGTAAAACTCAAGAGTGTTAATTTTCCCCAAATTTATTAATAGATTAAATGCAATCCTAAAAATCTTAGTAGATGTTTCAATGGAAATTAACAGGCTGATTCTAAAATTTATATGGGGCTGGGGGCAGTGGCTCATGCCAGCCCTTTGGGAAGTAATCCCAGCACTTTGGGAAGCCAAGGCAGGCAGATCACTTAATTCCAGGAGTCTGAGACCAGCTTGGCCAACATGGTAAAACCCCATCTCTACTACAAATATAAAAATCAGCCAGGCATGGTGGTGCATGCCTGTAATCCCAGCTACTAGGGAGGCTGAGGCACGAACTCAGGAGGTGGAGGTGGCAGTGAGCCAAGACAACGCCACTGCAGAAAGGAAAGAAGGAAGGAAGGAAGGAGGGAGGGAGGGAAGGAGGGAGGGAAGAAGGAAGAAAGAGAGAGAAAAGAAAAACCAATTATGTGGAAATGAGCTGGAAGCCTTATTTACTAGATATCAAGGCTTATTATAAATCTATTATAATTAAAACAATGTGGTATTGGTGCAAGGATAGACAAAGCAGAAGAGAGAGTCTATGAACAGACCTCCAAACTTATGGGCACTTGATTTATGGTAAAAATATGTTCCAATGACCCCAGGAAAGGGGGTCATTGGAACATACTTTTACCATAAAAGAAATATATATATTTTTCTTTTTCAGTAAGCAGTGCTGGAGTGGTGCCCGGTGCAGGTGCGGTGGCTCACGCCTGTAATCCCAGCACTTTGGGAGGCTGAGGCAGGCAGATCATCTGAGGCCAGGAGTTTGAGACCAGCCTGGCCAACACGATGAAACCCTGACTATACTTTAAAAATACAATATTAGCCAGGCTTAGTGTCAGGTGCCTGTAATCCCAGCTACTCAGGAGGCTGAGGCAGGAGAATGGCTTGAACCCAGTAGGAGGGGGTTGCAGTGAGCTGAGATCACACCGTTGCACTCCAGCCCAGGCAACAAGAGCGAAACTCAATCTCAAAAAAAAAAAAAAAAAAAAAAATAGTGCTAGAGTAACTGTAAATTGTCATCTCTAGCTCATTCCGTACATAAAAATGGATTCTATATGGATCATAGACCTAATAAAGCTTCTCAGGGATACCAGAGGAAAGCATTTTCATGACCTTGGGTAGGTAAAAATTTCTTAAACAGATCATAAATCACTAACCACCTCAAAAACAATTGATAAAGTAGGCCAGGTGCTGTGGCTCACGCCTATAATCCCAGCACTTTGGGAGGCTTAAGTGGGTGGATCACCTGAGATCAGGAGTTCAAGACCAGCCTGGCCGACATGGCAAAACCCCATCTCTACTAAAAATACAAACATTAGACGGGCGTGGTGGCAGTGCCTGTAATCCCAGGTACTCGGGAACCTAGGAGGCAGAGGTTACAGCAAGCTGAGATCGTGCCACTGCACTCCGGTCTAGGCAACAAGAACAAAACTCTGTCTGAAAAAAAGAAAGAAACCAAACCAAAAAAAAATTGATAAGCCAGACTACATTAAAATGATGAACTGTTTACCAAAAGCCACAATTTAGAGGGTAAAAAGGAAACCCAAATAGTGGGAGAAGAAATATTATATATAGGCCAGGCTCGGTGACTCACACCTGTAATCTTAGCATTTTAGGAGGCCTAGGTGGGCAGATCACTTGAGATCAGGAGCTCAAGACCAACCTGGCCAACATGGTGAAGCCCCATCTCTACTGAAAATACATAAATTAGCTGGGTGTGGTGGTGCATACCAGTAAGCCCAACAACTTGGGAGGCTGAAGCAGGAGAATTGCTTGAACTTGAGAGGTAGAGGCTGTAGTGAGCAGTGAGCCAAGATCATACCACTGCACTCCAGCCTGGGTGACAGAGCAAGACTCTGCCTCAAAAAAAAAAAAAAAAAAAAAAAGAGAGAAATATATATATATATATATATATATATATATATATAAAGAGTCTTGCTCTTTTTTTTGAGACACCAGTCCTTTACTCTGTGTGTGTGTGTGTGTGTGTGTGTGTGTGTGTATGCCAGTCCTTTAGTGTATATATATGTACACTCACATATAGTGTGTATATGTATGTGTATATATACACATATATACTAAAGCCAGTGCTTTAGTGTGTATATGCATGTGTGTGTATGTGTATATATATATATGTATATATATACACATTAAAGGACTGGCTCCAGAATATGAAAAGAATTCCAGAATTATAAAAAGAATAGATCCATTAGAAAAAGACAGATAACTCAATTTTTAAAATGGGTTAAGGGCTTTAACAAATGTATGGGAAATGGAGATGTCTAAATGGCCATTGAGCTTTTAAAACGGTACTAAACCTCATTAAACATCAGGAGAAATGTAAGTTAAATCCATGATGCAATTCCGCTACAACTCATCAAAATGGCCAAAATGAAAAAGACAGAAAATATCAAGAGTTGGTGAGAGTATGAGCAATCCTATACTCTGCTAGCGAGGGTGGGAATTGATAACAGCCCTGTGGAAGACTGTTTTGCAGCATCTACTAAAGCTAAATTTGTGTATATCCTGTGATCCAGCATTTTCACTCCTAGGTTTATATCCAACAGAAATGCACACACATTCACCATAAGACACATATTGGCGGTATCTGCTGTGGTCACGAGAGACGAGCGGCAGCCTGGTTGGCAGCGAGTAGCTTGCAGCATTCGCCCGTGGTTACGATGAGTTTACCCCTCAATCCCAAACCTTTCCTCAATGGACTAACAGGAAAGCCAGTTATGGTGAAACTTAAGTGGGGAATGGAGTACAAGGGCTACCTGGTATCTGTAGATGGCTACATGAACATGCAGCTTGCAAATACAGAAGAATACATAGATGGAGCATTGTCTGGACATCTGGGTGAAGTTTTAATAAGGTGTAATAATGTCCTTTATATCAGAGGTGTGGAAGAAGAGGTAGAAGATGGGGAAATGAGAGAATAGCATATTTTGTGGGAAATTTTTTTTTCCTGACCCCAGCCTCTGGGATTATATATATATGTATATATATATTTCTAGACAATAAAGATTTGTTTGTTCTTCAAAAAAGAAAAAACAAAAGACACATATTAGGATGTGTTTAGCAGGGATATTTGGAATGGTCTCATACTGAAAGTTTCCCTAATGTTAATTTTATTCGTTATCTATTGCCATGTAAAAAAAAAAAGTCACTCCAAAACTTAGTGACTTCAAATGCTAAACATTATTATCTGATAGGCTTTAAATCAGGAATTTGGGAGTATCGTAGCTGAATGGCTCTGGCTCAGGCGCCTTCATGAGGTTACAAAGGGGCTACAATGAAGGGATTACAGTCATTTAAAGACCTGGCTGGGGCTGGCATACCCACAGGCAGGCCTCTTCCTGGGGACTATTGGCAGGAGGCCTCAGTTCCTACTGATAGGGGGTCTGGGGACTCAGCGCCTCACCACACAGGCATCCCCACCGTATTCCGGCTGTTCCCTTGCTTTGATTTTCCCCTTCAGGGATTTCGATTTGCTGTGTGCTGGGTCTTACTTTCCTGTAATGGTTAATATTAGGTGTCAATTTGATAAGATTGATGCCTAGATAGCTGGTAAAGTATTGTTTCTGGGTCTGTGAAGGTGTCACCAGAGGAAACTGACATTTGAGACAGTGGATTCAGCACCATCCAATCCACTGCCAGAAGGCTAGAACAATGCAGGAGGAAGAAGGTGGGAAAAGCTGGCTTGCTGAGTCTTCTGGCCGTCATCTTTCTCCCGTGCTGGATGCTTCTGTTCATTCCCCTTGCCCTTGGACATCAGACTACAGGTTCTTTGGCCTTTAAATTCTTGGACTTACACCAATGGTTTGCTGGGGGGGCTCTAGGGCCTTTGGCCACAGATCGAAGGCTTCACTGTCAGCTTCCCTGTTTTTGAGGCTTTTGGACTCTGACTGAGTCACTACTGGCTTCTTTCCCCCACAGCTTGCATATCATGGGACTTTGCCTTGTGATGGTGTATGCCAATTCTCCCTAATAGACTCCTTTTCATATATACATATGTCCTGTTAGTTCTGTTCCTCCGGAGAACCCTAATGCATTGTCTATCTATCTTCAATATTTGTAATTTTCTCTTTCTTTGAATTTTATTCATCTAAAATTTCATTTCAATTTTTCATAATTTCCTCCTTTTGATCTTCTATTTTCTTTTTGGAATTACTTTTTCTTTCATTTTTTTTTTTTTTTTTTTGAGAGGTAGTCTCATTCTGTCATTCAAGCTGGAGTGCAAGTGGTGCAACCTCGGCTCACTGCAACCTCTGCCTCCTGGGTTCCAGTGATTCTCCTGCCTCGGCCTCCCAAGTAGCTGGGACTACAGCACGCACCACCACATCTAGCTAATTTTTGAATTTTTAGTAGAGACAGGGTTTCACCATGTTGACCAGGATGTTCTTGATCTCTTGACCTTGTGATCTGCCCACCTTGGCCTCCCAAAGTGCTGGGATTACAGGCATGAGCCACTGCGCCCGGCCTACTTTTTCTTTCATTTCTAAACATTTTCTGATTCCTGTCAAATAACATTTTGGAGTTTTTCTAACTCTGATTTATGGTTATTCCATGTCTTACATTATTCTTAATGTCTTTTATCTTCTTTTTAAATAGTTACGGTTGCAAGGTTTTATTTCGTTTTGTTTTTCCTTTGAGACTGGGTCTTGTCCTATTGTCCAGGCTGGAGTGCAGGTGTGCCATCGTAACTCACTGAAGCCTTGATCTGTTGGGCTCAAGCAATCCTCCTGCCTCAGACTCCCAGGTAGCTAAGACCACAGGCACATGCCACCATGCCTAAGTTTTGCAAATGTTTTACAGAAATGGGATCTCACTATGTTGCCCAGGGTGGTCTTGAACTCCTGACCTCAGGTGATCCACCCACCTTGACTTCCCAAAGTGCTGGGATTATAGGCGTGAGCCACCATGCCCTGCCAATGTAGGGATTTAGAGTAACACATGACACGACTGCTACAGCTATTTTCACAGAATTCTAATATCTAGATATTCTTGTAAATGGTGGTTGTGTTCATTGGTAAAATGTCACTGAGCTGTGCCCTTCATATGTGTGCACTTTGCTCTATGTATATTATAAATTAATAGGAAGTTAACTCCCATGTTAGTCAGGATTCTCCAGAAACACAGAACCAATAGGGGTGTGTGTGTGTGTATGTGTATAATATTTAGAGACAGAGATTTATTGTAAGGGATTGGCTCATGTAATTATAGAGGCTGGCAGGTCCACAATCTCCAAAGTAGACCATCAGCCTAGAGACCCACAAAAGAGCCAGTGTTGGAGTTTATCTAAAGGCCGTCTCAAAATTAGTCATTACACCCCCCAAAAAAAGAACCTTAATTTGTGTTTATAAATGAAACTTAGAGATGCTTAGTAACTTGCTCAAGGTCACTCAGCTAAAAGGTAGTGAACCCAAGAGCAGAACTTGGCTCTCCCTGCAGCCGGAGTTTGTGCTGTTTCCACTATATGAGGCAAAAGATGTTCTAATGGGGTCCAGTCCCATCTTCATGGCAACTTTGCAGGTAGGTTCAAGACACCATGCTCCTCAATGGGTGGCTGCGATGGCTCCAGATGGAGCCTACTGCTTTTACCCTCCACACAGCAGCTAGAAGGGTTTCAATTTGTCACATGTGGTCTGAGTTTAATGGTCTAGGGCTGCAATGACCGTTCCATGGTGAGGGGATCCAATTCCCTGTTTTGTTGCCTTGCCATCCTCAACATATGGCTTCCATCCCCTGGTCTAGGACGGCTCCTCCAGCCCCCACCATCATGTCTGCCTTAGAGACAGTGAGAGAACAGGAGGATATGGAAGCTGCACCTACTTCTCACAGCCCATTGGCCACAGCAACTGGCCAGGCTGTTTTGGTCACATGGAAAAGCTTATAGGCAAAGGAGTCTGGGAAGTGATTTTTAATTGGATAGCCGCATGCTGATCCTAAGCTTAGGGGTTCCAATATTAAAGGTATAAAGAGGGGAAATGAATATTGGGAGACAACTGACAATCTACCACAAATGATTTTCTGTTACTTTTACAAAAATATTTTCTTTTTTTTTTTTTTTTTTTGAGACAGAGTTCCACTCTTGTGGCCCAGGATGGAGTGCAATGGCAAGATCTCAGCTCTCTACAACCTCTGCCTCCCGGGTTCAAGTGATTCTCCTGCTTCAGCCTCCCGAAGTAGCTGGAATTCCAGGTGCCTGCCACCATATCAAGCTAATTTTTTTGTATTCTGAGTTAAGATGGGGTTTCACCATGTTGGCCACACTGGTCTTGAACTCTTGAACTCAGATGACCCAGCCGCCTTGGCCTCCCAAAGTGCTGGGATTACAGGTGTGAGCCACTGCACCCAGCACAAAAATACTTTCTATCTCCTCTATGGCTCTGCCTTGCCTGGCCCCTGCTTGCTGCTCCGGCCTCCCCTCCCAGCACACTCGCCCCGCTATCTGCCCTCCAACCACATGGCAACCTTTCAGTTCCTTGAGTGTTCCATGCTTCCTCCCACCCCAGGACCTTTACATGAAACATTCCTTCTGCCTGGAATGCTATTCTCCTGTATCACCTAGTTAACTCCTACTCATTCTTCAGATGTCAGCTCAGCTGTCATTTTCTCAGGCTGGGCTTCTCTGATTCCATTCTAATGTAAGTACTTCTTTTAGCCACTCTGACCTGCCACGAATCTTTCCTCTATAACATTCAGTTATAATTGTACACTTATTGAATAATCATTTAATAATTATCATCTCTTTCTCTAGACAGTAAGTCAATAAAGTAGGATCATCTCGGTTTTGTTCACTGCTGTATCCCTAGCACCTAGCAGAGTGCAGGGGACAAATATTTGTTTTTTTTGAATGAATGGACAAAGACTCCTTAAAATTGTCTGGATGATAGTGACAGGAAAATTTCAGTTATGTGGACAAGGTCTCAGACCACATGGCTTGACCCGGAGATCTCAGCTTTTTAGTCACTATAGCGAGTCTGGGCTATCTGGGGCCTCCTGTGGACAGAGTGAGTTGTTCAAGTTCCAGCTCATAAGGCTTGGTTCTAACATTCTTTGCATTGCACTCTTGCTCCCTGACTGCAAATAGATTCCACTAGGCTTTTAGTTTGTTGCTTTGATGCGGTTGTATTTTTTTAAAAAAGAAGCCAGGCAGGTTGAATCCTGCCAAATTGCATCTCTAAACAGAAAACCCCATGGCTGCATCATGTGAATGCCTGGTTGCTCTACGGTTCAGAGCTTGGAATTTCTAGAGGGGAAAGTACTTGAGAGTGCCCACTAGTTAATATGGGGTACACTGGGGAAGAATTTCTAAGTTGAAGATTTACCTCCGGCTTCTGCATCATTCTAGGTCCAAATACAAAGTCCTCCCCTGATCTTAGAGTTCTGTGTCTGGATGCTTTTGGTTACAAAACCAGAAAACTCCTTCTCAACTGGCTTAAACAGTGGGTTTCTTATCACACATCACAAAGAGGCTGGAAGTAGGGCAACCCAGTGACTTTTAATTGAGCTGTTTGCATACTCCATGGAGGACTTGAATTCTTTCCATCCCTGTTTTCTATGTGTGGTTCTGCCCTTGCTTTTTTCATTTGACAATATATCCTTAAAATCATTTCCAACAGGACAGAAAGAGCTACCTTATTGTTTTCTTTTTCTATTGAATAGTGTTCCATTTTAAAGAGATATCATAATTTATTTAACCAATTCCCTCATAATGAGCACTTGTTTCCAATCTTTTGCTCTTACAGTGATGTGATGAATACTTGCACATAAGTTATTTTATGTGACAGTGCATCCAAGGATAAATTCCTAGAAGTGAATTTGCTGGGTCATGAGCTATATGCCTTTGTAATTCTGGTAGATGTTGCCAATCTGTCCTCCACGGAGATTGTACCAATCCACTCCCCTCCCCAAATGTGTACAAGAGCACTTTGAGTCTTTATTCATTTAGTTATTTATTTTTGAGACGGAGTCTCACACTGTCGCCAGGGTGGAGTGCAGTGACGTA